AAAAGAATAAAAAAATAGAAGAAAGTTAAAAATAAGGGATTATGTAGGAGTTTTCTGAATGGCAGATGATTACCGGTAAGGGGTCGAGAACAGCTTTCACGAGGTCTGCCAGCTCTGAGGAACTGGTTGTGACTACTTGCTGTGCTGTGTTGAGAAATGGTTTGAGGCGGAATCGGGGTCCAGTAAGAAGGAGTACGGTGTCCATTGGCAGTGTCTATTCTTGGGCCAGGAGCAGACTGGACATTTGAGCTGCATAGAGTGGTTGACCTCCTGGTATAAAGTTTATATAAAGAAAGGGAAAGAGAAGTGAAAAGAGATCAAACTCAAAAGCATTCCAGAAAGCAAGAACAAGACAAGGTGATCTGAAGTGAGGCATTAGCAGCAAGAGAGACTTGTAAAAAATAGAGTTTAGGTTAAAAAGGAAAGAAAAAATTATTCTCAGAGAAGAGTGAGATGGACAGTGCGAAGGTGGCCATTATCCACAAGGTCAGAAAAAGCTGAGGTGGAGGGTAGGAGAACACACGGGTGAGACTCTTAGGTGATTCTTGATTCCTGGCTCCACTTTACCTGAAAACCAGAAACTGATATCACCTTTCAGGGTGAAGTCCAATGGATCCCCCCTGCAAGCTCCTGACGCTAGAGTAAAGAGGCCTAGACCAGAAGGTTCTTCTGCTAGAGGACTCCTTCCCATCCCTGAATCCTCAAGACAGGTCCTAGGCCCCATCATTTAAAGCACTCAGAGATCTCTGGGAGTCAGATGCAGAAGGTGGCATCTTGCCAGGTAGGCCAAATAGCAACTGCTTTGTGTGAGGATGAACGTAGGACTGCACAGAGGAAAAGGAAGCCTTACATGCTGAGTGTGTGTGGGTATGCATGCGTGTGCACTGGCACGCCACGACCCAGCCTTTCCTCTAAATGTAGACCGTGCCTTTGGTAATCCCACCTACCGCTCAGCCTCCCTCCTACATCACTCAACCAGCAAAACACAGCCCCCATTCTGCTCAGGAATGTGCTTTCAGAAACTTAATCTAACTGCTGTGTCAGAGCCAAATTCCCCAATGGCATTAACCCAAAGACAGCACACCCCTTTCTCCTGCCTCCACCTGCCTTCCCACCACCCCGTCGCTGCCTCCTCCCACTTGGGAGGCTGCAGTTCCACGCCACCAACTCCCTCTTCTCTGTGACACAGCCCATGCCCGCCCTCTTGATTTCCAGCACTTCTTCCTTCTCCTCAGACCCAGACATTTCACTCCTGATTCATATCTAAATGACAAGCCAATAGTTCTTGGCTTTCAAAGAACTCAGTTTCTGCACAAGCCCCTGCTCCTCTCACTGTGCCTTCTTGGGTTGCAACCAAGCCCTTCCCTTTGTCCTCTCTGCCAACTGCAGATCCCCTCAAGCACCAGAGAAAGAAGCGGCCAGAAATATTTTAAAAATAAAGGCTATAAATTGTCTCTCCTCACACAGATACACCTTGAAATAGAAGGAGGGCTCCAAGATAAATCTTCTACTCTCCAACTCTCCCTTCTCCAAACAATAAAAGGTTCAGCCTGATTCCTAATTAGGCCAAATGAATGGTTATGGAATTTCTGGAGCCTCCACAGACACGTGCTGCCCATTTGCAGATGAAATCTCCCTCCTAGATGAGCAGCATTGCCCTTTGAGGGCACAAACATTGCTAAAGGCACATCTTATTTGTAATAATGAACAACTGGAAGCGCCTAATTGCCAGGCTCTAGGGAAAAAGTTCAGTACATTATGGTAGAAGGGTAATGTTCTGGGGCTATTAGTAATTATGACCATGATTACTGGTGGGGGCTGGGAGGACCGATTTACCTAGGAAGGGGTATGAAGGGACGGGCACTGGAGTGATGGTTGCACGGGTGTACACATATGAAAATATGCATTGGTTGTTCACTGTGGATTAGTACACTTTGTGCAGGGCATGGTGGCTCATGCCTGTAATCCCAGCACTTTAAGAGGCTGAGGCATGCCAGGCTTGGTGGCTCAGCCTGTAATCCCAGCGCTTTGGGAGGCCGAGGTGAGTGGATTGCCTGAGTCTGCGGGGTTCGAGACTCGCCTGGGCAACTTGATGAAATCTCATCTTTACAATAAATCCAAAAAAAATTAGCAGGCATGGTAGCATGTGCCTGTAGTTCCAGCTACTTGGAAGGCTGAGAAGGAAGGATCGCTGGAGTCCAGCAAGTTGAGGCTGCAGTGTGAGACTCCAACTCAAAAAAAAAAAAGAGGCTGAGGTAGGAGAATCACTTGAGCCTAGGAGTTTGAGAGCAGCCTGGGCAACATGGTGAGACCTCGTCTCTACAAGAAAAAAAAAAAACATACACACACACACACATACAAATACACATACAAATTAGCTGGGCATGGTGGCACATGCCTATAGTCCCAGCTACTCAAGAGGCTGAGGTAGAAGGATCACCTGAGCCCAGGAGGTCAAGGCTGCAGTGAGCTGTGATTGTGCCACTGCACTCTAACCTGGGTGACAGGTTGAGACTCTGTCTCAAAAACATTAAAAATTGTTTAAAAAGACTAGTACACTTTGTGTACTTTGTTGTATGCATTTTATACTTAATAAAAAAAGAAAAAGGGCTGGGCTCGGTGGCTCAGCCTGTAATCCCGCATCTTTGGGAGGCTGAGGTGAGTGGATTGCCTGAGCCTGCGGGTTCGAGACCCACCTGGGTAACTTGGTGAGATCTCATCTCTACAATAAATCAAAATGAGCCAGGCATGGTAGCGCGCGCCTATAGTTCCAGCTACTTGGAAGGCTGAGGCAGAAGGATCGCCGGAGCCCAGCTGGTCGAGGCTGCGGTGGCTGGGAGCGGCCATTGCACTCCAGTCTGGGCGACAGAGTGAGACGCCATCTCAAAAAATAAAACATAAAAATAAAAATATAAAAAGTGTAGGTAGGAGCATATGATGATAGGAAGTGTAGCTCTGACCTGAACCCTTCTTGATGTGATGAAATGACCCTCCTTTCCCTCCATTCTCCTCACCCAAGCCTCTAGCGACTTCCACACAAGCACAGCTGGAGGAACAGCCCCACTGGCTGCCCAGGGCCTGTCTCTCTCCCTGAGCACTCACGGTCTACTCTCGAAAAGCCCGACCCTCGGATTCAACGACGGCTCCTTCTGCCACAAAGGAGAGTGGTTCCCATTCTGTGGAGGGCTCCATGTAGCTCAGGGTCAGCTTGACTCCTCACGGAGACAGCTGAGGACACACTCTGGCTTTACCCCGGAGAAAAGGGCAGGGTTGCTGGACTGTTTCTAGGGAAACAGGAATATTGCGAGCAGCCTCCCTTCCACTTTCCTACAGAGCTAAGCTCCTCCAGGGATCTAGGGACCAGTGGGCGGGGAGGGGCTTTTCTCCCCTGCTTTTCTATTGGCCCATCTCTTACCATTCTCCTCCTAGGACTCACGCCTCACACACCCCAGAGATGACAGCTGACTTGGTTAGAGGGGCATTTCAAGAGTCTGCTGTCTTAGATAAGACCCATGACATAGGACCCCAACCTCCTGGAACCACGCCACCCATGAAGGTGATGATGATGGTGACATGGACACCCTAAGCAGGGTTTTCAGAGATAAGTGGGCACTGCCAAGTCATAAGGGAACAAGCCCTGGAGATCTTCTCAAAGTTTAAATCTAAATGCCATTAAGGTCTCAACAAGTTCCCCCACTTCAGGCTGCAGGAAAGGAGTCAAGTTGGAAGTCATTCTTTAAGTTTCCCAGCTAAAGGCTTAGCGTGTAAGAATGGGTGTCGAGGCTGCCCACCACCTTCAGTAGTGTCTTAAATCAGTCAATTCTTGTGTACCCATTTGTATGACAGGTAGAAAATCAGAGAAAATATATACTGTTCCTGGGACATGGCACACCTATGTGGTAGCCACATACAAAGGTAGTACGTCTCATTATTCACATCCATCTAGCCTTCTGTAATGGGGCTCGGTGAGGGAGAATATAGTGGCAACAAGAAACACCTGTCCTGGGTAAGGCTCCTCTTCTAGCTGGGACTGTGTCAAGTCCTTGGCCTTGGCTTTGCTCTGTTGGATCCTTATAATATGCTTAAGTAATTTTGTAAAAACGATGCCTCACTTTCACCAACATGAAAGGAGTAAGAGCAGTCGTGAGGACAAGCTAGCAGGAAGTGCATGAAAGTGCCCCAGAATCCTTCAGATGGGAGGGACCTTGGGAGTACTTGGCCCTCAGTTTCCATATATTAAACTGAGGACCTGTGTTCTTTGTTATGCCACAATCAGAGAAGGTAGAGATCAGCAATAACGCTGATTCTTTATCACAATGTAACAACATAAATAAAAGAATGGCAAAACTAAAAATAATAATAATAATGGTAATATAAAGTCTTCCTCTTGGCCTTCGCTTGGACCACACTGTCACCTAATCTCTTCCTTGTTTCTCTCCCCTATATCTGTTTATGCCTTTGTCACACAGTTTTTTTTTTTTCATTGTGTTCTAGGTATTTGGGCTACGCTTACCCCTTACAGGGAGACAGGAGGCCAAGTCTGGGCTGGGCAAGTGTGTCCTGATTACACATCACCCTGGCCAACGCTCCAACTAACCACTGAGGGAATAGTGTGAGGGGGTTAGTGGGGGAGGGGCGGTGGACAGTTGACACACAGCACCTGAAGCCGTAGGATAACCAAGTAGAAACACACGGCATGGCCCTGCTCTGGACTCCACAGAAACACACACAGTTCAACCACATCAGGGGCACTGACCAGTTCTTTTTCCTGCAGACACTCACTCCAGACATAGCCTCTACTCAGAGTGAAGCTTCCCAAGAACACAAGGGTCCCCCCTCCCAACTGGAGATTACTGGGCAGCTACCATTCTGATTTGAAATTTCAGCAGTTAAGGCCCCTTTTATGGTGAGACTAATGACAGGCAGTATGATTGGGGGGAAGAAGTGGAGGAGAGGAGGAGGGACTGCACCATGTCAGAGAGGCAAGGGAGCAGACTCACTGGCTAGTGTCACAGCGGCTGGCACACTGGCCACAGCCCCCGCAGGCATCCGAGCCACACACTGGTACCGTCCTACAGTGTGGTTGTTGAGGGCAGTGATGACGAGAGTCCCGTGGGTGATGAGGACGCCCAGGGCATCATCCGAGCCATCAAGCTCCCTCCCATTGAGGCGCCAGGTTATGTTGGTCCTTGGGGGTTCCACCACGCAGCCCAGGATCACGGTGCCACCGAGCTTCTGAACAGTGGATGCAGGCTGGACGGTGACCCGAGGGACCTCGTCTGCGGGAAGAAGAGGGACGCAGCCATGAACTGATGCCCCCAAGAAACCAATAACATCACTTTGTCAGGAGCACAGTGCACAGGCAGTCTTCCAGAGCTGGGCATCAGAGGAGCTGATCTTTCTCTGCTGCCCTTGTCCCTTTCCCAATCTGTCTTTGTCCCCAGGTAATAGATTTGGAATGGCAAGGTGTCATAAAGGCAAGTGCTTAAGCTTGGACAGACCTGAGTCTGATCCTAGTGCCACTACTTCTGAGCCATGTGACTTCAGTCTTTTTAAGTTTCAGCTTCTTATCTGTAAAATGAGGCTAATGATATATTTCTCATGGAGTGTTGTGAGGCTTATAAGCAATGCGTGTACGTTGTCTGCCATGACTTCATCTAAGTGCACAATACAAAGCAGTTAGTTATTATTAGTATTATGTCTCCTCTTCCTCCTCCTCCCTCCTCTCATATATCTCTGAAATGAGTAAAACACCAAAATACAACCAATATGATGTTGCCATGATCACGTGTCATCTTATATTCGTGTGTCCCTGAAGCCAGGGGGAATGAAGCGTTCTTTGAAACCCGACAAGAGGATGCCTTTGAGAGAGTTATTGTAGAATGCCTAATGCTTCCAAGTGACAATGGGGACAAAGTGTTCTTCTGAGAGAGGCAGGTGGAGAAGGGTAAGGCACTCACTTAAGTCTGCAAAGCAGCCTGTGGTAGCCAAGAGGAGGCAAGCAAGTGTGACTTCAGGCCTCCTTCCTCTCTGCGTCATCGTCATCCCACGCAGCATGATGTGCCACAGAGAGTCTGAAGTCAACGTCCCATAAGCCGCCCGGGCCGCGTGAAGAGATCCTGGCGGTTCCCAGCAATACTGTTGTGAGAGAGAAAGGGAGAGAAATGGTCATGGTGAGGATGCCTGGGAGGCCCTCGTGGTAACCACAGGGCCCAGCTCTGTCCCTCATTTTCTGCTGACAACATTCAAAGCAGAGGCTTAGTCATGTTCCTGGATGGTCAAAGAACATGCTCACACCATTCCTCATCTAAAAAATGCTTCCACTGAAAGACTAGAAAGAAATATTTTTAAAAATAATAATAAATAAAAGAAGCTTTTTCTTAGTTTCCCCCTTAAGCTAGAGTGATTTTCATTTTCATTTTATTTTAGAGGCAGGGAGGACATGTGTAAGTTTCTTACATGAGTGTATTTCACGATGGTGAGGTTAGGCTTCTACTGAATCTGTCACCCAAATAATGAACATGGTATCCCACAGAAAGTATTTCAGTCTTTGCCCTCTTCCTTTCCTCTCTGCTTTAGGAGTTACCAGTGTCTATTGTTCTTGTTTAGAAGACAGTTTCATCATGGTAAGAATGCCAGAACCTAGCCCAGGGGATCAACAGCAACAAGGACAGGGGAGCACAGGATCCTGAGACGCCGAAAACTACAGCCACTTCCAGGGCACGGGGCAGTGAATATCTAGCACAGATGCTGTAACAGCTGAAGTCATCCTTGCCACTTGCTTGCAAAAGGCCAGATGTCCACGGCCACGTGGCCTAGTGCAGACTACTGTGGGCTGTGGGGCAGCACTGTCGTATGTGACATGCATACTGAACATCCCTTGCCAGATGCTACTAATGAATGAATCCTGAAGTCTCAGCAACTCAGGAAAGTTCTCCTGCTTTGATTCTCCTCAACCCAGCTTCGCGCTTATGTCCCTGTGAACTCCTATTTCTTCCCAGAATCAAACTATTCTCCTCAGCCTGTCTGTAACCCCTGAGCACAAACACAGCCAAGTCATGGTCGGTCAAAGCCCCTCATCTCTTCGGGGCACAGAGCCTTGTTTTGGCTCTACTAGCTGGAGTCCACCTCTCTCTGACCCTGGTGCTAGAATTCTAGACTTATCCATCTCTACAAAATCTGTGTTTCTGACGACTACCCGGGTTGCATCTCTACCAGGACAACATTCCTTTGGGCTTCAGACCATGCCATACCTCCAGCCACCTGACATACCTCAGCTATCAGTCACCCTCCTAATACCTGCCAAGAATATAATCTTCTCCCTTTCCAGGGCGATATTCCATCATACCTCCCTTAAGTTATGCTCTTTACAAGAGTCACCAAAATCACACAGGCAAGTGTACATTCTCACATACACATACCATCACAGACAAAACCAAGATTTTGCTTCTGTGCATTTCACTGATAAATGTACAGGACATTAGCAACTGAGAAAGGCCTATCAACACCCTTATTGGGCAGGGAGGCATTAGAATGAGTTCAGATGGCATTTAGGCCAATATTCCAATGATCTGGACAACGTTCCAATGATCTATGCAGCTGTGGTAATATTATAGTATACGTCTAAGACTGGGACATACACTCAAGATGTTAATTCTTCTAGACCAATTTATCTAACCAGAGACTCTTTCAAAGATCTACAGCCCCCATTGGAAAAGTAGGGGAAGTAGGCTTCCCAACTGAGAGATGTGCTATGCTCACCCAGCCCTGAGTTCCGGTTGCTGCAGTCTGTCTTAAGAGACAAGAGACAGCCGTGAGCCTTTCAACCCCAACACTCCCGACACAGGGGTCTCCTACCTATGCCAGGAAGTGCTTGGGATTTGCCTAAATCTGTCCCCTTCCCCAAGCCCTGTGGCCTTTGGCATTCTGCTCAGCTGCTGAGGGAGTAAAGAGGGCCACATCCGCACTGCAAGCACCCCTCCAAACCAGATCTAGGACTCCAGCCCCCACAGGAACGCTCAGAATGTTTTCCAAGATAGAGTTTTTTCCCGTTGATTTTCATTTTCTCCCTTGGCCTCGTGACTTTGACATCAGAGGACCCGCAGGCAAGACCCCTCAACACGCTGAGAAAGGACTGGGGGATGTTTTCTAAAAGGGGTTTGAAAGAAAAATTTTAAAGAAGCTTTCAAATGTTCTTTCCTGGCAAGTTAAAATAACTTCCTGTTGGTGTCCAGAAAGAGCTTTTTCTCTTTTTCAAACAATCCAGTAAATCAAAAGGGCCAACATGAAATTCATGAATGCTGCAAAGGATGTGAGTGCATCTGGGAAGGGGCCGTGGTGGCAGGAGAGTTGGGGTGCCTGTTGTTACTGCAGGTACCTGCTAAGCTCTTTCATGAGGTATGTCCTTTAGTCTTCACATCAGCCCTGCAAGGTGGGGAATATATTCCCATTTTACAGGTGAGGAAACTGAGCTCTAGATAGAGGTTAAGTAACTCTTCCCAAGATCACAGAACCGTAGGCCTGGATTGAAACCCAGGTTGGGCTGATTCTAAAGCTCTGGGCTTTTAGTCACAATAGTAGCATTTTCCCATTTGTTTTATCAACTCTGTGCCCACTGGGTGTTTAACAAAGTTAGAATACAAATGACAGGAGAACAGTGGGGGATTTTAACAGCAATTCTTGAGGAGACGTTTATACCAAAAAGAAAGCCTTTGGTGATCTCTCAATTTTTCAGATACTTGTTTTAATTCTCTAATTTACTTGTCCCCAATGAGATAATGTATTTATATAGAACACTGCATGAGTTTCCAGTTATGGGATTTGAGGGAAGTAGTTTGTTCGTGACATGCCCCAGTTTTTCTAGCCACTTAAGGAAATTGATAGCAAGTGTGCTTTCCATGTCCCAAGGAGGGAAAGAAGGAAGGGAGGAAGGAAAGAAGGAAGGGAGGGAAGGAGGAAGAGAGAAAGGAAGGGAGAAAGGGAAGGAGGAAGGGAGGGAAGAAGGATGGGAGGAAAGGGAAGAGGAAGGAAGGGAGGGAAGGAGAGAGGAAGAGAGAAAAGGAAGGAAAGAATGAAGGGAAGGAGGAAGGGAGGGAGGGAAGGAGAGAGGGAGGGAAGAAGAGAAGGGAGGGAGACAGAAAATGAATACAAAGCAATAAAGGGCAAAAAGAGTACAAGGAGACAAAGACCAACGGGAGGTTGTTTCTTATCTGAGTACAGGGGCTATAGAGGTGTCTGGGTTGTAAAATCAACAAAGGTTTTACTGAGGAAATTCAGCCCAGACCCCCTCCCGCTTAACGAGGACCAGCCAAACAATTCCTGTTAGTGCTGCACCCTTGGTAATTTATAAGGTTCAAAATGGAAACAGATCCCACTGCTGCTGCCAGCCACCATCCTGCCTTCAAAAGCAAGGAGAGTGAGGGGGGTGAAAAGATGCAGGTATCCAAAGAGGGAGAAAGGCATTAACTCATTAATCCCCACTACAGAGTTGTAGGCAAGCACCATCCTATTGATCCCGAAGCAGGATAAGGGGGTTTCACTTATGCGAAAGCTGAATTGTGACCAAAAAATATGGGGGTAGTGCTGGGGGTGGTCACTAGAGGTCTGACGCATCTTATTTAGCAGCTGGGGAAACTGAGTTACTTTTTGAATCAAGTTACCTAGTAAGTTTGATCTAAAAAGAGAATTCTCAAGATTTTGGTATCTGAGAACTTTGTTTTAATGTTAAGAGGAAAAAAGGCCAGCCGGGCTCAGTGGCTGTAATCTCGCGCCTTTGGGAGGCTGAGGTGAGTGGACTGCCTGAGCCTGCGGGTTTGAGACCCGCCTGGGCAACTTGGCGAGACCTCATCTCTACAATAAATCAAAAAAATTAACCGGGCGTGGTAGCGCGCGCCTGTAGTTCCAGCTACTTGGAAGACTGAGGCGGAAGGATCGCTGGAGCCCACCAGGTGGAGGCTGCGGTGGCCGGGAGCGGCCACTGCACTCCAGTCTGGGTGACAGAGTGAGACTCCAACTCAAAAAAAAAAGAGGAAAAAAGGCAAGTAAGGCTTAAGTCACAGAACCTAAGTGCAGTGTAATTGTGCCCCATTGTGAAATGAACAAAGTACAGTTTCAGGGTTGGCTGACAGCAGCAGTAAACCCTGTTATTTTTCTTGGCAATGCCAAGTCATGTCTAGATCCTTCTTATTTTCTTAGGCATTTTACTCAGAAAAAGAAATCAAGAAAAAACAAAATGCAGAGAGAAAGGAAAACGAATTCTTGCCATGAATCCTCACTGAGGCCCAGGTACTTGCCATTTCTAAGGGTTACTTGGACACGAAAAAGGACCAAAAAAGTGTCTGACAAGTTTAACTGCACGTTCCCCACTGAAATAATATCCTCCAAACAGATGTTTTTGAAACTTTCCAAAAACAACAACAACAAAACACACTTCAGGGGTTAAGACCAATCATGAGAAGCTGCAGCCTTGGAGTATTTATTTTTTGAGAAAATTACAAACAACCGAGAGTCGACCATTGTCAGGAGGAGGTCAGCTCCACCTCCCCTCAAGAGGGCTGGCTGGCTGACTAACCAGACCAAAAGTGAGATAAAGCCACACAGAGCCACCATCCCATCCCCTGGATGTCCACGTCATATCAGCTATCTCAGAAAGGGAAGCCTCCAAGATCTAAAACACAAAAACACCCTTTGGATGTCCTAAGACCAGTAACAAAGGTGAGCTCAATAGGAGAAAGTGTGATGTAGCAGATAGCACAAAGAGGCTTAAAAACATTCTTCTACTGGCAAGAATGAGACCTGACCAAGTCTTTTGTTCTACTTGTTGAGAGGGCCCGCCTAGCTACATGAAAAAAAATGCCTGACCCAAGTTACTTTTTTTTTTTTTTTTTGCATGTTCTCAGTTTTGCAGAGTAAGATTCACCTTTCCCAATTATCTTTGAAGTCAGAGAAAAGCTTTGCTCCAGACAGTAATGCCAAGTGTCTGGGGTGCAAGGGTTGGCAGCCCCTCATCTCAAGAGAGAGGGTGGTATTTCTGCACAGGATAGTAGCACTGAGTGGAAATAAAGGAAATAAGTGAATTTCATTCTCAGAGGACTGAATATGTAAGTTTAGATAGGAAAAGGAATTAAGAAACAAG